TATTTTTTATCAGAATAATGCATAACTAAAGGAATCGTTTTAATTTTTTTGCAATAGAAAATACAAGTGATTGATGCATTTATTGATTACATCAGATCTGTCAAGAGTTATATTCTATAAAATTTCGACATAACGAATAGTTTTTTCCTCTGCATGATTGATCTACTGAACTTTTAATCCTATTTTATGTTATTGATTTAATTATAATATGTTATTGATTTTATTTTTATTTTATATGTTATTATAATTGAAGTTCGGGCGAAATATTGAGCCAAGAACTGATAGAAACATCAAAATTATTATACTAACATTAGGAAGGTCCTCTCAATTATCTATGATATCAGATGGAAAAGATGAAGAAGATTTTCCATGAAATCGGAAATAAATTCCTATAAAAATTGCTTCGGTCGCAAAGGACGAATCGCGTTCATCTTCGTTTATTCTCTGACCTATTTGCCGACATATGGGTCATGGAGTTCAGCAACCTAGGTCGGTACCCAGGTCGACCGCTATAACGGGTGACCTGAATAAAATTGATCAGAACCGCTGTTTCGCGAAAAACATTTCCATGGATAAATATTTCGCGTAAACTTATACGTGAGTTATTTTCTCTTCGAGGAGATTTTGCGAATGATGTAACTTGGAGGTGTTCCGGATTTTCGGATTCTCGAGTACGAGTATATACATATATCACACGGGGAACGCGTGTCATGAATAGAATTGCTTGGCAATGAGTGGCGTTCTAATTGGATAATTGTGAATCAAAGTATATTTTACCGGCCGTCACGATCTCGTTAGACTCTTTAACGCTTCATTCTCTCCTTTTTCCCTCTTTGTCTTCCTCATTTCAAAACAGCTTCAACGCGCGCACATGCCGGCAAATTGGAACGAAGACAGACCGTATGTTTCATCTCATGACGACATCATCCGACGCGTTCGTATTACACTTCGTCATCTTCGGACAGACAATACCACACACGGGACACACATGGCTGTCGCTATGAATGACTAGTGCAAAATTGAACAACCGTACCAATTTTAAACAGATGCAGTGAATCGTTGCTTTTGAAATGTACTCTACAATTCTAACTTAAAAATTCCAAAGGCGTAGGAAGAACAGCCAATCATTACAAAATTCTGAAATATAAAGAAAGTGAAGAATAATCAACTTTTTGACCGCGTTGGCAACTCGTTAGATTTCACTTCACGAAGCCCGGTACATTTGCCAGGTACATTTATCCGTAAGTGGCTTTGAACACAGAGCTGGTCCAGATAATCGTCGGAGTCACAGGATAGTTGGCCATACGGGGCAATGAAGTATGGGGGCGGGAGAAGCGGGGGAGGCGGGAAGGGGCGCGAGGAGTTCAAAGAGCGCCCGAGCGGATATCCTTATTCGAATGTTTAACTCTTGCGCGAGGGTGCCCGACGCGCGTCCATCCAGGGAGAGTAGGTCGTTTCCATGGCGACAAGGGGTGCATCGGACTGGCACTGGTATCGTTAAAACTGAACGGGACACCCCTTTTCCCTCTGCCTGGCAAGGCAGCCTCTCGTCCTCTCACTCTCTTCATCCACGGATTCCACGAACACATCCCGCCCCTTGCGGAATATCCTACTACGTACCTGTAACGTGCTACCTACTTTTGCCTGTTTCCTGGACCTGCCACCCTAGGTCATCCCTCCCGCGGAAATTGGGTTAGACCTCGGAATTAGGTGCCACCGACCGGCGAAGCGGCAAATCCATCGCAGCGTGTGGAGACTTACGAGTTAGAGAATGTACTTGACGTGATATCCATTACTGTGATTAATATCGTGATATTTGCGGTAGTAAATATAGTAATAGCTAATAATATATAGATAATAATAAGAAAAATTGTACATGTAATTTTTCTGCCCTCTCTAATATTTCCCGCATGTATATACTAATTATACTGATTTTTCGGATTTTTAATTGATATTTCCTGAAAATATCAAAATTATGACCAAATTACTTTGTAAATCATAAATAACTGAATACAAAGCGTTTTCCGAAATAAAATACGGAAAAAAAATATGAATAATAAAATCTAATTTTTTATTTAATATCAAACTGATTTTATTTTAAGAAAAATTAATGCGATAATTATCTAAAAAGATAACTAATAAAAATTGAAACATTTACGATAAAAAATAACGTCGTTTTCTCTAAGAAAAACTCAATTTCAAATCGTGCTTAAAAGGATTTGTAATTGATTAAATCTAGCTCTATTGCCGTTTTAAAATTCTCTAAATTTTATATTAAATTTTATTTAACTGAAAGTGACTGTAAAGTATTTGGTAGACTTAGAATTTTCGCGAATGTCTCAGTATCGTTGCCGTTATTGACTAATAATTATCGCAGTAGAAAATCACCCGATATCTAATTAATTACAGACTGCTTCCTGCGATGGGAAGGGAAATCACGTCGACCTCCCTTGCTCTATCTCTCTCCTTTTCTCCTTCTCGCGTCACCTAACGCGCTGTCAGTCTCGTCAACGATCGATTTATATTACGAAGGAGTTTTTAGAGTCGCGGGGGAAAATATTTGCGCGGAGAAACCGGAATGTCGTCGTCGGTAAACCAAGCGCCTCCCGTTCGCGCTTCATGAATTCTGATAAAATCAACTTTGTAAGACAATATGTCCTTTATTCTCTCTTATTTGATATTCTTTACAGCTTCGATAATTGATGATTGATGTATGACATTTTCAGCATTGCTCATAAACTCAACAAACTTTACCGATCGATCTATTTTGAGAGATTCGCTAGCTCTGAATGTTTAATTTTACTTACTAATATTAATACTTTCCTTACCAATATTTAATTAATCTAAATGATCTATCTGTTCTATGCTGTGCGCATCAAGTTTATTTGATGTTATTTTTCATTTTTTATTATTATTATTTGCGTAAGCTTTTTTCCGTCAGACATATAAGTTAACCGAACGCGATGTGATGTTGCGTCGTATTTCTTGTACAATGTCTGAATCGATATGTGGCATATTTTTTTTTTTTCGAACGAGACACCCAGTATTATTCCAGGGAATACAGGGGTGCACGACCTAGTTACGGTTGGGCGTGTTATATGGGTCATAGACAACATTCGCACTCGGCTGCACGTGCGCGCGCACACGTTCACGCGTGCCGACTGCACTGGTTCATGGGACTAGTAATTCACAATTGTGAGACGAGTAGGTTTTGTCACTCTGCTTTCACTGTCTTCGCGATTAAGAAGAAAGCTCTTCGCTAAGACATCCGAAGAGAGATGAATCGTTTATCCTCAAGAGAAATAAATTTTTCAAATAAAAAAATTGTTAATACATTTATTGTATGTACATTTTTTTATTTGCGTATACGATTAAAACTCCTACGTAAATAGAATGATATTTTACCTTGTTTAAATACAAAAACTTATCTTGTTTTTTTACATAAAAACTATATCAATCTTGCCTGTTGGAAGAAAAAGATAATTGTGAAGGGAATTAAATTGAATGTTCATAATTTCGAATTGAATGTTAATAATTTCGGTTTTTAAAACAAATATAGGTTTCCATGCTATAAATGCATATATTATTTTTTCCAAAATTTGGTATTATTTATTAGAAAAATTTTAATTAATCGTGCTTCGAATTTTTCCAAATAATTGATTACACGTATTAATTTATTACACACGTATTGATTTATTAATTAAATTATACTCGTCCCTCTAAAATTATCTTACCAAGATAATAATTTATCAAGATATAAATTTATTCGGTAAAAAATCACCAGAGCTTCGTTTTATTATGCTGGTAAAAAATTCAAATTTCTCATTTTTTTCCTATCACCTAGGTAAATTCGTGTAATGAATAGTAATAACGTCCATAGGACACACATTTACATTTCGTCGAATTAACTGCCAGGGGGACGAAAATTCACCCGACGTAGTCCTTTTCTAGACCAACAGAGTTCCTCGATGTTCATCGGATACACACGCGCACGCGTGCATTCGGTCGACATACGTCCCCCTGCTCTTTCTCTCTCTCTCATTCTTATCTTCACCACACGTTATCGTCTATCTCTATCCTCCGTCACTATTTCCCGCGCTTGGCCATCTCCTTCCGATCGCTCCATCCTTGCATCTCTTTCCTAACACCTATTGGCAATAGCGATGTCTTTGTTTTCACTCCCTTGTCGCTTCTTCTGTTATCAGATCTCTCCTATCTTTATCGTCCTCGATACTATTCTACCTCTATCGAAATAGAGAGAGAGAGAGAAGGAGGGAGAGGGAGAGAAAGGGGGAGAGGGATAGATGATCTCTCTCTCTCTCTCTCTTTCGCTGGCTTGGCGATATTCTCGTTCTCTTCGACGTGCCACCCACCCCCTTGCCGCTCTTCGTCGACCCGGGTGAGCCGCGCGTCGCGCGCGCCTCTCAGTCTCTCGCGCAAAGCGGACCCGCGGCGACGCGATATTACACTCGATAGATATTGCGGCTGGTCCAGGTTCTTCTCTTTCCTCGCATCGTCGAATCGCGCTCGTTCGCATCTTCCGTTTCTATCTCTCTCCACCATTATTTGTTGTTTCCTCTTTCGGGGATCGCACCTCCTTTCTTTCTCTCTCTCTCTTTTTCTCTCTCTCTTTCTCTTTCGTCCCAGTGAGCTTGTGGAAACGGCACGGTGTACAGAAGAAGAGAAACGTGGCAGCACACGAGGAACGCGATCGGTCGGAGCGAGAGGGAGAGAGAAGCAGAAGTGTTCTGCTATTTTCGAGGCGCCGCGGAACCTTGCCAAAGCGTGCCGCCTCCTCGGATCTGCGAGGAACCAGCGGCGAGAGAATCGCGACCGGAAGGTCACGCGATGATCCGCATTTCCGCTCGATCGGTCCTTGAGAGATCGTCGATCGACCGAAGAAGATTTCGCCGAGGCGCGCGATCTCGATCCTTCGGAATATATCGTCTGGGCACGATATGACTCGGCGATTCATCGACAAAAATTTGGTATCGATCTAATTTCCTTGTCCATCGATTTTTTCACATCGATAACTTTTCTGGATGACGAATATCCCGCGAGAGACTGATTAGAAAATTAGAATGTCGCGATAATCCGGGAGTCACGAGACTAATTCGTCGATAATTTTAGTGCTGTTCAAATCTGGACTGTCTATCTCGACAGGACTATATCAGATGATTGCTTAATCATATCCTCCGAGAAAATTTTGTCATTTGAAATGTATAAGAAGCGAGGGGATCGCCAGAGAAAATTGGATGCTTGATCGTAATCTCGAAGCCTTCGCGTTTACATTTTTTGCCGTAACAGAAATATCATCGGCTTATATATCTCCGGTAGAGATTTTCGGTGTTCATCATATTTCCCGCTCGTGGCAAAGGTCGAACGACGATACGTTACGAGCGCTTTTACGAGCGAAAGGTGACCCATGGGGATTCCCGCGGTAATAGTCGAACAATCAACTAGGAAAAAAAGAGAAAAAAGAAAATCCACACCTTCGTAGATCGAATCGTGCTCCGATCGACGACTAGCTCCGATCGCGTTGCCTTTATGAGGCCAACCGCGTTTATCGGCTGTAAAACGCACGCGGCTGGCCGATAGTGCTTCACAAAATTATTTCACGTACATGAAATAAGATGGAAAGACGGGAATCGAAAGAACGAGACGAATCAGTCGCCTTGATAAAAACACGATTCGACTTAATAAATAAATCTAACGTCGATTAATTATTCTCAATTAATCTCAATTAATTATTAGCAAATGCGACGAGTTGTCTCGTAAAATCATATTTAAAAAGGAGAATTTTGAGACGTGCAATTTGATCGGCAGGGAACAGGAAAAGTTCGGCTGAATGAAGACGAGACGGGAATAGATGAACAATGTGCACGGCGATTGATAATCATTGAATAGTCGCGGGAAACATCGAGCACGTAGAAGAAATAAAAATAGAGAAAGAGGGAGACTTGTGTGTGTGTGAGAGAGAAAGAGAGAGCGAGGAAAAAAAACGGGGAAATGTGACGTGCGACTGATCGAGAGCCGGCGATCGAGAGCGGCTTGTGATCGACGCGTCGCGGTCGAGAATGGATAAATTTATCCGCATCGCGAGAGGAATGCGGCAGAAGCGACGAGGAAGAGTGTACACGAGTACGCACCGCAGTCGCATTTCCGATATAAATTTAACGCGATGATTCGCGCGCTTTCGCAATTAGCCGCTATGGAGACTACTGAACTTAACTGGAGGTTTGTTGGACAGAAAGAGCGAGCGAGAGCGAGAGAGAAAGAGAGAGAGAGAGAGAGAAAATTACTTGTATCACCTGGCTTATTTATTTGATTTGCGAAACTGACGCTTATTATTATTTTAATCTTTTCATTAATTAATCTTTGAGCAACTCGCTGCGTTTTTATAAACTAATAATTAAATTATAATTTAATTAATCTTCCGGAGCACAAAGGAGACTGAAAATCTCCTCTCTGTTAATTAATGTTCATGAGAATGTAATGCGATTCATTTAATAAATTTCACTAGGAGCATTAGATAATGTTGTGCAAAAATTAATAACGTTCGACGTTCTGTATTAGCAGTCGCTGATACCTGCACATATGTTACTAGAATTTCTGTAGAATCATTTTACCCACACGAAATATTTTATCGCTTCATATGATATATAGCAATTATCATATATGGCAATCGGGTTAATTTCTCGAATATTGGAGTATTCGCGTTCGGTCGAATTATTAACTCTCTCAATGATTCAGAGAAATATCGGCGTACCGACAAGTGTTAATTATGCTAGAATATTTCAAATTTACGTGATGATTATGCGAAACGATTTTATAATGTTATTAAACGTCACATGATAATATACTGCTTTGTATTGCAATAATTTTCGTTACGCGTGATGCATAATAATGCGACGACGATAATACCTTTCAACCATACAATTGTCATACGCGCTCATAAAGCACTCCATCATTTAATAATCGAACGGCGTCCCGCGGACAAATGACTCATGGCGTAACACTGACCTATAGAGAAGCTCATGATTCATAGCTCACCTTTGCTATGTAATAATTATCGGAGACTTTACATAAAGATACGATAACGTAATGTAACTTCTGTTGTAATTGACAAGAAACAGTTTTCTCTTTGTTGATCTTTGTGGTGTTCCTTAATAATTATATAGTGTTACGTTTAATTTCTTTTTTTTTGTAAGTAACGCGTGATTGTTGTACTAACTATAATGCAAATCTATTTAAGAATAGCGTGATTACATCTTGTAAAGATCGTACGATAAGCTGGTAAACATATATGGCACTTTGTCATGCTGTTACATCTACGTGATAAATTAATTTCTGTGAATTGGTCGCGATTAAACGAATTATTATGTCTGCAATCACGCGAACTAGTACGGAGATTTAATACGTCTCGCTTTTTATTATTTTTAAATTGCCATAAGCGCGTGCGCGCGCATCATACATTTTTCTTTCTTTTCTTTTTTTACACGAGATCGTCACGAGCGTGTTGTGTCTGCTTACAGAGTGTACAATGTCGGAAGGTGGACGTGCAGTGATCTGGCTCCTAGTATCAGCCCTTCGAGCTGCACGCCACCCGAAAGATTCACGTACTAACTACTAATTGCACCTGCGTGTTGAACCCCCCACCAGTTGCAGAGTACTGCACCCCGTAACCCCATGACGCATTTAACACATGGCTCGCCTGGAGAGTAAGTGCCTCTTTCATTTGCCCGCAATTTTTGCGCAATTTTTTTCGTTAATCCAGTTGCGGTGCCATAATTTACCGCACACATACACGCCTAAACACGTGCACATCGGTATAGAAGAAAAGTGAAATGATCGAAGCGTATCGGAAGCATCGATACTTCCGAATTTACAGCTGACAATAAGGCGGATCGATATAAGTGCATCAATGAATGAACCTCTTTGTTCACGAATCGATGAAGAAAATACTTCTGCTGTAGAAATATTCCCGGCCACTGCTCGTACGATAGTCGCTTTATAGTAGCACAGTAAATTACTTATCTTGTATTTGCACAGTAAATTACTTATCTTGTATTTGCTCGATTGAAAAAGCAATTATTGATAAGTAATTATTTCTTGAAAGATTACAAGATCCCAAGTAACAAGTGATAAATGAGTGATAATATATACATAAACTGATTTGTCACGGAATTTGTTGGATGTCCCTTTCATAGATTCCTCGGTCGATTTGGAATCGATTTTTCCTCAACGAGACATTTGTAGAATTTTTTTGAATAATTAACAAAGCCTCAGCAGAGGAGATTTTACATATATCTTTGTTTCCAAAATTAAAAAGAATGTTAACACTTAAGATTTAATTCCAAATAATTATATAAGATGTAATATAATAAAATACTAAAATATTAAAAATAAAATATCTTGTTGAGACGTTCCGTGTTGTCAAAGAAATCGGGACATCCTGTCGAAATTTACCTGTCAGGAAAGTAATGTAATTGCGGTTTACGCACTCGATGATTCCAGTACCAAGCATAGTGGTGTATAAAGGAAGCAGGTCGCAAGATCGACCTGAGAGTCCCACGGTGGTGGTGCGAGGAGGAATGCCCTCACTGCCATCGCCCAGGCAAGGCCTCGCCATAAGTGGTGGCTCCGGTGGTGCGCTTCACCAAGACGCCTTGGAGTCGGATATGATAGACGGGAATGCCAACGTCGGCACCTCCTCGGCAACGAATACGTTCCACCGTCCCCCGCCTTCCTGTCCGCCGCCCGACAAATCGGACACCGAGAGCAAAAACTTTCGCAATCGGGTGCGTGTGCCATTAATCGCTGCTAGATTATTGCCCCACATTTTGCTCGTCCTTCCTCATTACGGGTTTCAAGGTACGTCTGGAAGAAGTCATTAAATTAAAAATTAGTTGAGAAGAGCTATAGGTAAAGGAAAATGTGGAAGTGTATCAATGATTTATTTCTTTATTTCTTTATTTTTTATTTGTATCCATTTATGATATAATATCGAAACAATCATTTAACGTGTCGCACTTTCGAATTCGATACGCACGCATCATCACACATGCGATATGCTCTGTCGGTCGTAAGCAAATCTAATGATCTTTGCAGACGAACACGAAACTAAAGCTGTTGGTCAGAAGCCATGCCATGAGAGAATCGACGTCTCCCCCGCGGGAGCCACACGGCAACGGTTCACCGTCGCCGCACAGTCCACAATCGGTGGACGGTGAGAAGAAGATCGTGTGCGATCACCTCTCGCCCAACTCCAACGGTGCCAAGCTCAATAACAACGAGTCCATGTTCAACAGCAATCTCGGTCCCGCTCAATCCCCCAAGCAAATGCGCAACACGGCGACTTCGCCGACCTGTCGGACACCGTCGCGAAATGGTAAACAAAAGAGCATTTCTTTCATTACACATAGAAAAAGATTCGAGAATCTTCATTTTTGAACTTTGTTACACAGGTCAATCTAGTCCCTCTCAGATACATTCACCAAAGAGCATCACCTCTCCGACTAACGGCAATAAGTTGGAGAACCATCGCTCCAAGTTTGTGAGTGCGAATAACATTCAAAAATGCAATAACTGCGTGAAGAACAATCAAAATGAGCGACCGGGTTTGCTGCAAACTCCATTGTCGCCCTCCAAGTCCGGTCAAGCATTGCAGCACTCGCCGAAGAGCACCAATCTCGCGCCGAACGCGCAAAACAATCAGCACAAATCCGAGCAACGCAGGCCGAATACATTGAACATTTGCAATAATCAATGTTCAGCGCAATGTGGCAACACGCTCTCGGTGAGCAGGCCCGGGTCCAGGCACAAATTAAGACATCAGAATTCTTCTCAGGGCAGTTACGATAGCGCATCACCATGTCTCTCGCGCGGTAAGTTATTCAAAGAATGTACAAGCACATATAAAACTTTTTTTCTCTTCGATCCTCTTTGACTCTTAATTACTTTCCGTATTACAAATTTTACACTTATTTATAGATAGCAGCACGGAACTTTATACAGATAGCACAGGGATAGATCTCGAACAGTTCATTGCGGAGACTATAAATCGCAATCAAAAGGATCGCACGGTGCTGCTAAAGATTGAGAAAGATCTAATCGATTTTGCGAGGGACCGACAAAAAGTTTCTCACAAATTTCCAAATATGTCATCGTACAACAGAATGCTTGTGCATCGAGTGGCAGCTTATTTCGGCATGGAACATAACGTAGATCAGTCGGGTTTAAGTGTTATCGTCACACGAACTAAAAACATGCGAATACCGGATACTCGCTTTAGAGAGCATATCAGGGATGACATGATTTTGTCAGAAGAGCCGCGAAGAAGTATTTTGAAGCGAGATTCGAGCTCATTCGAAGATAGCTTCAATTTCAAATCGCCGGACAGATTGTCGGGCGATTATTGTCGGCGCAGTAAAAGCTTCGAAGAGCGGGAGGAAGAGTATGAGCGCGCCAGGCGAAGGATATTCAAAGACAGTAGCGGCGAGAGCAGCGAAGTCACATCTTGGCCATGGTCTTCGACGGAAAGTTCAGATGTCTCGGCGAGGTATCGCTTGCTACATCCCTCAGATCACATAATGAGGTAAATTAATTTTCATATCTATATACTTAATAATTAATTTCCATAATGATTATAAAATTTACCAACAATTGTCAATCATATTGAAATATAAATAATTTATACGCATCTCTTTACAGGCATAACCGACTGCTAAAAGGCGAATCTTTCGATGGGAGAGACTCGTTTCGCGGCGCGGTATTGCGTCCATCTGTTTCTAAATCATTCAGTTTTGGTGGATATACTAAAGGCATGCTGTCAAGAGGAGATAGTGTCACGTCCACGCATAGCGCAGGCGCTCGCCTCATGAAACAAGGTAATTGCATACAAATTTATATTAAAGTTATTGTGTGAAAATGATTTCAATACAACGATTGTTACATACCGATGTCTCGTTTCGCTACATTATCATTATGATATCATCCTATCAGGGTGATAATTATAAACGCTCTTGATCCAGATTCGGGGGCCAGTATGTGTTCACGTTTGAGTCCAAGCCGCTCGAGCAGCGGTTATAAATCGCAGAGTCAGCGCAGTGATGCGACGATATCGCCATCACCATCGCCGTCTCCTGTACCGGCCATGATGACGTGTAGTCACACTCAAGTATCTAGTCAAGATCTAGCCTCACCAGAATCGAATGGTGGTCAAACGGTTATGTGGGCAGTTAGTAGTTTGTCGAGCGTGCCACCTGGCAGTATAATAATAAATCCGCAAACCAATCAACCGTGCACGAATCCAGACGGTTCGATCTATCGTTTCGATCCGGATAATCTACCAAAGTTTTATACCATCGAAAACGAACACAATATGTCGTCCGCGATTAATAAGCAACAACACACGGAACTATCTCCCGAGCCATCCAGAGCACCGAGCGGCAATTCCAAGAATGACAGCAGGAAGCAACAACGTTCATCGCAATCGAAGATGAATACAGTTAGCGCATCTGGAACTCAAGTGACGAATACAGCGACATCGCCGAGTCTACCATTTACACCACCACCACCACCACCACCACCGCCTCCTCCTCCCCCTCCTCCTCCACCTCCTGCTCCTGCTCCTGCTCCTGCTCCGCAAAACGCATCCATTCCGCAACAACAGCAACAAATGCAGCAGCAACCACAATCACAGCAGCAAAGTCTAGTCAAATCGTCAACAACAATGCAGACGTGTAGTCATACTAACCAAATAGCTCAGCAATCGTACGCGACCTACATACCTACCTCAGAACCGTACAACCAGGGTGTTTATCCGCCTCATATGGGGCAACCAACTGTGATGATGGCACCTCATCCGACTCAGGGTCAAGCGAGCATGCAGAACGGCGGTCAAGGGGATGTCTTCAATCAGAGTCAGGTCTATGCCAATTATGCGGTACCTGTACATCAAGGACCAATACCACAATCAGGGGTAAGTATGTCTTTAGCAAATTAAATAAGAATAAATTACATACAAAACCACGCAATAAGAAAGAAAGGATAAAAAACCGTGGCGCAAGATGTTAGAGCGTAAAAAAATTAAAAAAAAGACTCTAAGTAAAAGATATAATATATTAATAATCAGTTAGATATAAAAAAAAATAAAATACATACGTTTCGATCTTTTCAAGATCCTTTTCAATGTTTAAGATGTCGTTAGAAAATAAACAAACATTAAAAAATTTTAAAATAATAATAACGGAGCGCGATTAAACAAAGACAGGCGCGATAAGACACAAATAGACATTGTGTACAGTAATAACGGTCGCAAATTTTAAATGCTAACAATTGTTGTGACGAATGAAAGCGCATAGACAGTAAACTAAAAAGCTAATAATGTCTGGCCACAAGCTAAATTTTCTGAAAGAAGGCCAACGTTCACCTCTCCATCAAAAAGGCATGATAAAATCGCAAACGTGAAAATTATTCTTCGCAAATTTATATTGTGTGACGATCCCCCGATGAAAAAATCTATTTAGAAAATTTGGGACCTTTTTTTGGAGAGGTGAACGTTGGCTTTCTTTCAGAAAATTTAGCTTGTGACCAGACATTATTAGCTTTTTAATTTACTAACTGTCTATGCGCTTTTCGTCATAACAACTGTTAGCGTTTAAAATTTGCGACCGTTATTACTGTACACAATGTCTGTCTATTTGTGTCCTATCGCGTCTGTCTTTATTTAATCGCGCTCCGTTATTATTATTTTAAAATCTTTTAATGTTTATTTATTTTCTAACGACTCCTTGAACATTGAAAAGGATCTTGAAAAGATCGCGAAACGTATGTATTTTATTTTTTTTATATCTAACTGATTATTAATATATTGTGTCTCTTACTTAGTAGAGTCTTTTATTATTTTTTATGCTCTAACATCTTGCGCTATGGTCTTTTAGCTTTTCTTTCTTATTGCGTGGTTTTGTTATCATCCGGACCGTATATTGCTTTTATTATTGTATTTAAATTACATACATTGAAAATATTTTTCAACACAATAATATATAAATAAGTTAGATTTGTTGGTTAAAAAGGTAAATAGCCGGATAAAATGTTATCGTTTAATACGCTGAATAATATTATATATTGTGTGATGCACCAGTATCTATTGTTATTATTCTATTTAGTATTATTTAGTGAATGATTATTTGCTTTCTGACAGATTTAACAAGATTCTAATATTTTATAAAAGAATACAAGATTTTCTTTACATCGACTAAGTAGTTTTTAACTTCATGATAATAAAAATAATTAATTTATAAGGAGTTTTATTTAACTGTTTCTAAAAAAAGCCAATAATATATGATTAATTAGGATGTGACCGAATTATCTGGGTATTTCTTGGGAATGAACATATACGATCAACGTGGCAGTGGGGATAGCCATCCGACAACTCCGCATTCTACGTATCCACAACCGCCGCCACCTACGAACCAGACTGTACAAAACATGCAGACGATACAACCGAATTATTGGCAACCATCGCCAAATCAAATACCAGTACGAAACTAGAGAATATTATGCAATTTTTATTTTATTTTATTCTCTTTTCTACCACTATTTTTATTATATATTCTACATAGACAAATAACAAAATTTTTCAGCCTCAACAGACCATGTACTTTATGCCTCCACCTGGAACGGCTATCTCTGTCGGTCAAAATCCGGGAGACAGGCAACAATTACATCAACAACAAAGATTTTCGACGAATTATTCCTTCAACACGCAAACGATGACGCCTCCGAGCCAAACAAATTGTATGTTTGCGACCTCTATATTTCCCTCGGTGTGATTCTCACATTTTCTGTAATTCTATATATAATTAATTCTATATATTTTTTTAGCTAATTATGTGGGCACTTACCCGGTACCTTACAATTCGATGCCGGCAGTAACCCCGACACCGAGCGATTATACGTATCAACCTCCGGTCCATATGGTTCCTACGTATTATCCGCCAGCACAACCGACGATGCAACCGCCGCCCGTAATGTACAGAGTACCTACACCACCAAATACTCCGACATCCAATCAGGTAATTGGCTCAACTATTAATATTAATATTAAATTGATAATATTTAAATGATACTGATATAATAGGATGATCCAAAACAAAAAAAGTCGCATTAACAAAGTATTTGCTATTTGATAAAATTAATAGATACCTATGCCGTTGATGTACGTCAACTCGAGTAGTTATGCGACCCCGGCGATGGTATCCGGTGGAACATTTGGTCATCAAGTCGCTCACAATGGCACATCCCCGGCGCCGCCTAGCGCATATATGACACCTACACTGGTTCCCAATCTCGTCTTCAGACAAAACGTTCCTGTGAGGATATGATACACAGTAACAATGACTATCTCTCTAGTTGTTCTATCTCTCTTCACTCTAGTTGCTATGGAATTCTCTTTCTTACGAAAGGTATTTTTATGAAATAAAGGTCGTTTCCGGTGTTCGAGCGACAACGCCAGGTAACTCTCAACGAGCTAGTCGATCGCCAACTCCGGCACACGAGCTCTTCGGAGGTGGAAGCGGAGACAGAAGCGCACAACCTCAACCACGTTACCCACTGCCAATGTATCAGGGTGTCCATATCGTACAAGGTAATTTTAGCGACGTGTATTCATTTCAAATCATTTTTTTTTCTTAAATTGTCGTTTAAATTAATTTTAAAATTTTGGTGCAGGGGATATGAGATTGATGCATCCTGGCGTACCAACCAACCCCCGGTTGCAGTATGCACCAGTATCATCACCGCCTGTTGTTCAAGGTTGCCCGCGACCGTACAGGCCGCCCTCTTATTCGTCTAACACCTCGGGGGCCGGCACGCCGACTTCCTTCGATGGCAGAAATCAGAAGATTCGCAAACAGAGGTAATCTTGAATTTTACATTACTTTCTATTTTTATTATATAAATGTCACCTATTCTGATTCCCGAAATTTATGCTCTTGTGCAATTTATTCAGGTCCAAAGTAATGTCTTTGCCACCGAGCGGCGCACGGCCCAATCTCTATCAGGCGCCTTCCATGCCATCACTCTCGTCAAACGTACCCAAAGATATCAGAGAAGGTATGAAAAATTAACAAAAAGCAGAGAGATAGAGAAAGAGAGAGAGAAATTCGATGTTCGCTCAATATCGCTTAAGATTTAGTTACTTTCTGCTTTCATTTCGCTTATGAAGAATAAAGTGTAACACGATTTTGACACATTCTTGTCTCCCCTTAAAAGCAAAACCTGTGGAAGACAGTATGATATAAGGTACAAAACTTTAGTATAAAATACTACACACAGAACACAGTGTCTTCTTTGTACGATAGGAGCTTTTTCACGCATTGACTCATCTTTTTCGAAATTTATTTTTTGATTACAATATACTGGAAAATAATTCCTACTTTCATAAATTTAATTTAAATATATATAATTTTTATCAATTTTTATCAATAGACATACTATCATAACTATTATATTATCTTAAATTGTTATTCCGTGAATGAAAATATTTTAGCAAAACAAATTTGTCTAGAGCTATAAAATTTTATGGAAGAAAGTAGGAAATATATTTTTTTTCATTGCACACATATGATGTACTTTATTATCGCACTATATGCTTAAACAGTAACACGCACGGGATAATATTTTTATCCACTAAGGAAATATTCACAAGAACTGTTTCTGTCCAATTTTCACATACAATCATATCATCTTCTTTTCGTAAAAATTATATTTTTCTCGATGTAATCAGTTTGAAAATTGGAGAGGTATGATCTTGGAATATTTTCTCGCGGATACATTACGATGACACTGAATGTATTCTTTGCACATCTTTTTTTCCACAGTTTTAATATACTATACTGCTAGTACGGTACATTTTTATGCTTATTGTCGCACTTGACGAGATACAGATAATATAATCAATTTTATCAAATTGATGTCGAAGAACATATTGTTCTTCTCACTCTTTCTCACGTCGACTATGATCATGTACAATTACAGTTTGCGCTGAATGAATTATTTTTTCTTGTGAAATATATTTTGTTTTTATATAGACTTATATAAAGGCTTCTTTTTATGAGTTAGAATTAGCGTATTTATTATAGTCTTTTCTTTATTTTAATATCTGTTTATTTGCATCAGAGAGAACGCGATTCACTTATATTATATGTCTAGGAAAGTAGCGATTTACTCCTCAGAAATAACATTTCTTTTCAGGAACGGTAAAGGTGACAATTACCCGTCGAAACCAGCTGGTACAATTTTGAGTAAGCGAGCCGATAGGATAACATACCTGATAACCCAGAGTCACAGTCCTGATTATCCAACAACCGAGATTAGCAATCTACTTTATTTATTCAGAAATACTATATGTGTGTATATATATATATATATATATATATATATATATATATATGTATATGATATGTATATGTATATGTATATGTATATATATATATATATATATTATATATATATGTATATATATATATATATATATGCATATATATGCCATATTAATTATTGCCCTAAATTATTTAAAGAGAGTCAAGAGTTACTAGGATACAATATATGTGTATCCTAAGTGAAAAATAGTAATGAAGATAGTACTGTAATGCGAGCGTTTGTTTTCTTTTTGGACAATATACAAAGGACGAAATTTAAACATCATTTCGAAGAACTTTCAAATGCACCGAGTAAATTTGAATTACTATGACGAAAGAACGAAGCAAGGAGAAAAAGAACGAAATGTAATCATATGTGCCCAATATAAAAGAGAAACGAAAGACAATGGTGCACCGAACAGAATTACTGGACAAAATTTTAATTACTATTATAATATATATATATATATATATATAAATATATATAATATTATACTTGAAAATATTTTAACTGCGGTTTTACAGATACTATATGAATGTGAGATTTACTTTTAAGGAACATTATTAAGGTCAAATAAACGCGCGAATTTTTCGAGGCAGTCGTCACGACAATTTATGACCGCCGAGAGAGAATACGTACGATGAAATATAATAAGTTAATGTACGAGAAAATGATATACTTTACTGAGTACGTTTACAAGGCACGCGAGTCTTTCGGAAAAAGAAATATATTTATATTACCTATTTATTATCTGCTAATTTTTGATACGCGCTGCCATCGCATCGATCAACGAATATTGCGTTAACATCGCTGCCCATTCCGAGTCCATTTTTTGTAAACAAGTTGTTTGCTACCTCAGCATAATATTGAAATTCTAAAAATTGTTCGCGCGTTGACGATGCCATCCCTTACGCTTTTCTCTAACATGTATCTATTGTACGTGTGAATAATGAGAACCTTTACTACGCACCACGTCTTTGCAGGATATTTATATATAATTTCTATAATATATTTGTGTGGGTCTCTCTTAACAATTTCTATTTTATTTTACAAAAACGGATTTCACAAGGAAAACGAAATAATTGCTATCCAAAAAAAGAGCGAATCTAATATTTTACACGATATTCTATAATATTCAACTTTAGAAAAAAATGTTTCTAATCAATTATCATAACTCACAATTATACCAGTGAAAGCATCACTGATTAAGTTAAGTAAATATGTAAACGTATTCAGTACACATACGATCTCTATGTCTAGTTTCGAGTAGTAGCTAAGCAGCGAGAAGCCATCACCGCCTGAAAACTGTTTATATCTTATTCTTGCAGAAAAAGACAACTAAATGATTAAAATAATTCTATTTTTTTTCGTTTCGCTAACTTATTGCGTTTGTTATATAATGATAAGATTGCTTTAGCTCATTTTATTAGCACAATTATTATTCATCTTGAAGGTTCAGTACAATTAAATCGAGTTTTTTATACCAATATGATTCGTCTTCCAATATGCGCGAACACGCTTCATAGATCTCGCGGAATCATCTTCTCTGTTAACTCAGTATCACATAATAGACGTGCATTTCTCGCGTACATATTCGTTTCAACAAAATAAAAATATATACATATAATATATCGGTAGCGGTGATGGTGACACGCAATAATTAATAACGTTTCCGTCTGTGAAAATTAGGCAGACCAGCGCGGACAAATCTCGCGTCATTAGAATATTATCGCACATACGTTTTACATATCGTTTTACTTTATAAAACGCGGATTAAACTACACAATTATTGCAAGATAGAATAATAGTCGCAAAAAAATAATAATCGACCATTAGTCGTTATTTTGTAGCATAGAATTACGATCACGAACACTCGCGAGGAATGTCCACGTTGCTCCGCGATACAAAACCAAGTGGAATCCATCCAGAAGCTTCGCTTACGGTGATTGTATTTCAGAAACGTAGGTGAAGGTGTGCCTATCTTTTTATGAGAGTTTAAATAAGCGAAAAATAACGCGATATATATACATATATACGCGCCAACTTACCTTTAACCGGGTGATACAGTGGAAAACATCACTTTTTCCTCGTGAGAAAGTGTGATAAGGGTTTTAATCTCGTTATAGGGTAAAAAAAAGAAACGAAAGAGACCTGAGCATATATTAAGCGAAAAAAAACATAGATTCCAGAATATTTCAATTATAAAGAGATGGGCGCACAACCATAGTATTTAACTGTACCTAACGTCGTCGTAGTGATTAAAGCAAAAGAAGAAGAAAAAAAGAATAATTGTACCTATTAAAAAAAAGCAGTTCATGCATCCCTTTACGATAATAATGAGCAAAAAACTTATCGAAACCGTCAGACATTGAACCGCCATCAAGTATCGTCCGACACCTCGCGACAACTTTCGTATATTTTCTAGACGATCGATTCATGTGATTTATCAAGTATTTCCTACGAACTGGTGAGGGGAGTAAAAGAGAAAGATTCAAGGATGTGATATGAGGGCGTATGTACACAAAATATAGCGCGGACGTTACTTGTTAGGCTACCGCTTTTCTTCTTTGCGAATAAACACAGACGAACCAAAAATTTACGTAAACGAATGATGAGCGATATCGTGTTTACTTATTTTTTCGTTTGGTTACGACACTTTACTGCGTACACTTGATACACGTATTCGGAATCGCATTACACATTTTAAATTATATCACATTGGTTATTTATGCTTGTATTAAGACTCTTGATTCCTCTTGCAATTATTGAATTATGATATCACAGATAAATCGTATAAGTATTTTTATTCGGTTATTTAAAATAGATTGAAACATATTGAAACTTTTCTTTTTTTCGATTCCTGAATTAATAAGTCGCTTCATATCTTGATTGCTATAAGATATATTTTTGCCGGAAAACGAGCACTTTTATTCATGTGCAGATTAAATTATATGAATACTTACCCGAGAAAAAATAGGTATAATATAATAAGATATAAATATATATAATTAGATACGAAAAGATCTGGTGACATATATAATTTTATGATTATATATATAATAATATCCGAAATTTGACACGATATGAACTTATTTTGATATAATCATATTGAACTGGATCTGTTCTCATGTATAATCAGATTTAGTATATTGAATGATTACATAAGGATAAAATTATATCACGCCAAATTTCGAATATTATTATATGTGTGTGTATTATCATATGTATATATAATAATTATATATATGATTATAATTATATATAGTTATATCTTATACATATCTTATATAGTTATATCTTATATATTATATAAATCACTACAATTACATAAGTTTATTTTTTCGCGGATATTAATGCAGAATAACAAAAAAATGCGATTTTCAATATATTTTATCAATCTATATTATCAAACAGTGATGATATGTGAAAAAACTAAATTCATTTCAACAAGAAACAAAGAGTTTTAAATATGTAAAGCAATCTCCCTATGTTTTTTAATTATGATTAAATATTATGTTGAAGCGTACCGGCGATTATTCTCGACGAAACATTCGGATTCATTATGAAAAAATAGAATGTTCAAAGAATTATCGTGCACACAAATGCAAAAATGTGACGAATTTTTCATTACTAATCTCGACTGATTTTGTAATTTCCTCTTCGTACATTTTAAAGACCGAACGAAAAAAATGAATAGACAGATACCGATACAGTCATTTTTCTCGATCGCACTGATCGAGGGTGACTCGCTTTTAGAAAAATCTTAAAGAGAACAAACGACGAAAGAGAACGGGTAATATAAATGTCATAAGCTTGCAAGACACCTCATATTCGTTTCCTACTATTTTTGTAATGCGACGTAAGACGATTGATAGCGGCGAGCAATAAATCGGCGCAAGACGGGAAGGGGGAGCAAAAAGAACGACGCGATTTAAAATAAGGAGAAATAAGATTTACACGCAAAACTGTAACATCGACTCTCTTACACGAGAATTGTCATCTCTCTTTTTTTCTTTCACTACGTAGAGGATTCCTTTCGTTGATTTGAGCCCTTTACCGATTCGTAGTCTTAACGATTGCTAAATATTATACTTATTCTGTGTAACAATTTACGAAACAAAATTGTTCGTTTTCTCATTTATTGTATATATGTATATCGAAAGAACGTGCGAGAAATATGATGCTACGTTTCGCTGCTCCTCGCTAAGGATGCGAAACGTGTGCATTAGAACGACATGAAGGCAAAATTATCTCAATGTTAAAGCGAGGTATCTTGTCGTTAAGCATATCTTTGCCACATTTCTTTAAATCTCAAAGCGAGCGGAGTCCGAGAATCATACGGTGGATATGCTTGACTCTTAAGAACCAGTCGCATTGGCAAGTCGGTTATCCTGATGAATGAATTGGCGAATCTGTTGATAAATTGCACAATTTTTCCCGTTCTATATTCTACGTAGAATTATATATAGAATAATAGCCAATCTCTTTCATTCAGGATCTAAAAATATTTCCGTATTTTTATCTGAACGGAAATATTATTCTCATCCGCCGTTCAAATTGAGATTGAATTGTAATTGGTATAATTTCACAATGGAATTCTCGCAGTTGCAAGTTTTAACTGATCCCCGTCTCTAGATGTCAACTGCTGCTATTAGAAACATAGAGAGATTTATTAGCTTTAAATGATATTGACGAGACCGATCTTGAAAGTGCAAAGTTAATTGGATAACACGGGCAAGTTGCGAGTGTATCGACATGTATTTTTTTGCGCATACCGTGATTTATCACGGTACATATTATAAGGATGAATCCAGTGGCTGTGCCTCCGATGCTTAACAACGTATTTTATCGCGATTGCGTTTTTTCCTATTTCGCTCATCATCCTATACGATAGAGAGCGATAGCTTATGTCACTCGTTACTTGTCCGAACGTCCATTATCGAACATGTATGTACAATGCGACGACGTGTGTACAAGAGATATATTATTTATATTTATTAAATAAGATATATTTCTCCTGCGAAAATGGACGGATATTTCAAGTATATTCACCGATTCGGCCGCGCGGAGCACGGTGTTAAGATGTGATTTTGATTGAGAAGAAAAATAAAGAGAGAAACAAGAAAAAGAAGCGAGCGAATTGACGAAGAAGAACCGACCTGAATTATCCGTATGTAAATATAATTGCGAGGGTGACGAGAACAGAAAGCGAAGCAATTGACAATTTTGTGGCGTAAATAAAGAGCTATATTATTCTCATCCGAAATGCACAACATCATAGAGCCGGAAAAATGTTTGATATAGAAGTCATGTCAGTCTAATTATATTTCTTGTTATATTATATCATATTTTCCAAAAATGAATTATATATATAATTCAATAAAAAAAGGAGACACTCTCGTTTGATAATTTGCCGGCTCACATCGATCATTTCTGTGTTCGAGACACTCTTCCGCATGCGTTCCTAGCTTATCCTATTGTTTACTTATAATCTAAGTATCATTTAGGCTTACTTTAAGCTATTATAAAGTGAAAAAACATTGAAGAAGAATGTCGTCTTATAATACCAGTTTTATTAAGTTTTTATTATTTACACAAATTCGTTGTAGATTCTTTTGACAAGGGTCCAGAGGAACATTGCGGGAATATCGGGACTCGCGTTTACCTTAAATCAAGAAAAAAAAGATTCTATCACGCATTTCTACAGGCATCTTCGTCCCCAATGATCACTATGAACCAATGCCACGGCGCGGCCAAGAGATCACACGCGATCCGTTCGCCGAGCGATTCCGACCCTCGACAGAAATTCCGCGGACCCTCGCAACGCTTCGAAAAGTTATTGCACTTTTTAGGAACCAATACTGGATGCCGTCAATTTATTAGCGTCGAAATAAAAAGAAAATGTATGTAAACTATATATGTAAGCTCGTGTTATAAGATCATTAAGGATACGTTTCACTTGCAATAGAAACGCTATAAAATGGCTGTTTAATCAATTAAAATAAAAACAAATGTCTGTCTCTTTGTAACGTCAAGCAGAAGGCACCTTGAGATTGCCACATGCAAAACGTTGTTAAGAAACTTAAGATACTAAAAAATACTGAAAAATATATTTATCTATGTCCGTTAAAATCTGTGAAACAGACATTTTTTATAAATTTTGAAACTATTTCTTTTAACTTTCTATTTACATCGCATGAGCGCATTTAGAAAAAATCTTTAAATCGATCGGGGCAAAGACTATCCGCTTTTGGCAAAGCACGATAGTGGGAGTATAAGAAAAAAATATATTACATTTTCGACGCGCTAGGGTCCATTCGGAACAACTGTCGTCGCATACATTATCATATTCAAAAAATTATTACACCACAACAATCCGCTCCTGGGAACGGTTTATAGCGTATTAGCGCTTTGTGAGTTAACGTTACGCGTGTTGATTTCTCTCTAAAATATAAAATTTATAAACATATACCCATCACCATGTTGGACCCAGTTACGCGACTGCGTTTGGCAGTAGAGTTTTTTTTCTTGTCTTTGTCAATTAAAATCTAAACAATCCAAGATGGTACTTACTTAATGTCGGTATTCTCGTTTTATATATTTTCTTCTATTCAGTTCTATTAATTAAATCCAGTAATCTCCAGTAATCTCTCGTATTAGATCAAAACCATTCGAAATGTGCATCATTAGAAAGCAATTCGTATTCGTTCTTACTTTATTTTCGAATGGATTTATAATACCGACATTGAAGCAGCATCTTGTTTCAATTACTCTAATTAATAGTAACGTTTAAGCGTTATAATGGATTAAAATCTTTTTATACTGAGTGTTTATGTCGCATTCATTCGCACACTGCATCGTCGTAGACTTCCAAATAATCTATATAAGATAGATCTTTTATATATAATTAATATGTAATTTCAAATTTTAATTGACTTATGTTTCTACTATTTCGTTTTGATAAGTATTTAACATTTCTACGACGACAATGTTCATGACATTCAATGAGTTCATTTATACATAGCTTCACCGGAAACTTATTATGCACCAGTGCATATCTTATTGAATCTTAGTCACGTGTAATTACATTTTTTTTTTAAAAAGCTTTATCGTAAATGCATTTCCGATTATATTTTCGTATTTCAATTATGATTAGATATTTTACGTAAATAGCACTATTGTAGTACATAATCAATTAGTAAGTTATTTTTATTAGTATTATTGTATAGTTATTGTTATTTTTGTTTCATTGAAAATTATTCATTTGAAAAAAAAAAACTTTCGATTTAATTGCTACAACAAATTATTGAATTTAAAGAAATTTTAATTAATATATACTATGTGATCGGTACTAGTATTCCTTTTTTATGTGTAGTAAATCTCGTAAGAATTAATTATTCATGATTTGCATTAGAAGGAAATGTAAAATTGGAAAACATTTAAAGCAAGATGCAAAAATAATCGGCATCTGAAATATCAACGATTACACGCTAACAACATTGAATGATAAACTGGAGTATTTGATTGAATTATTTGAAAACTCACGCCTATAAGTATGACTTAAATCTAACTGAGTTCACATACGAATTAAGTTATCGAAACGACCGCGCAACTGGACGGTGCTTTCGCATATGTGTTGTGTGTTTAGTGCGTTTAGGTATGTGTTAAGTAGGATAGCGTATACCGGACTAGTGTACAGTATAGTTTATACGTGTATGCATATAGTATATATACATACATATGAAAGTTAAATAACCCTTGACGGGAATGAGTCAATGCATGTTAATGCGTTAGCATTCGCGATTAGAATTAAAAGTTTCACTAAGATATACAATTCATTACACGGACGGAATAGATACTCAAATACAACGTTTTTAGCACGATTCTTTGTATAGTGAAAGCAAACGGATTATCCTCAAAACAAGAAATTTGTTTGCACTCTTGTTTCAGACAATCTTAATAATGCATTCACATAAAAATATATTGTACAAAACGTGTGTAAAACTTCTTTCTTGTAAAAATATAATTATGTTATTTTTTATAACATTTCTTATGATAAATATTATTTTTATTGTAAGAAATATTTTATATATTTCTTTCAATTTTTAATAGCATTGTATCAAATATATATGTAGTTTATTTACATATTCAAATATTGCATCATTCTAAATCTGGATATAAATCTTCGTTAAAGATTCATGAATTATCGAAATTCTCTGTTGTAAAAGTTTCTCGAAAAAAGGTTGTATAAATGGTATAAAGGAAGAAAGATGGAAAAGCTAAATATTTAAAATCTAACTATTGTTAATTCCTCAGATATCTCGAAGCACCGCCATTGTTAGCTGAGAATATCATGAAACATAGAATTAAGAAGTGGGCAGAGGAGGCAGTTGAGCAAGAGATTCGCGTTTCGTTTTACTATATATCGCGCGGAGTGGCTTCGATTGTCGTCACGTCGAATCAACTTCGCGTCGAAAGTAACTTAATCTAAATTAATTTTCATCGATTGGACTTATGATCCGCTGAGATTTCGTATGTAGATTATAGATATATATAGATCCCACGAAAAATCGCAGATCTTCGGCTTGAGGCTTATTCCGCGCTAAACAAGGCGAACTTAACTACTGTGGCTGTAGGCAGTGTTGGTATATGGTCCACTGTATATGGACGATCCCGTAGTTGAGACGCTCTTATGTCGTCTCTTTGCGAGCAGTACCAAAATAGCAGCCACTACTGCAAGCATAAGTATGAGACCGGCGATGGCGATCCCGATAGCGAAGCTCCTTTGCGATATGCAAATGGTATTTGGATCATCGATAGCCTAAAGAAAACCGTAAAAAATAGTAAGATATTGTATATATAAATTTGATTTCTTTTTATTTCAAAAGTGTTCTTATTCTAAATTACTATTCCAGAATAAACAGAATGCGCGATTTAAAGTTATCAATATTTTTAATGCAATAAAAATCGATTATTATTTTGTGTTACCCTTTCTCTAAAGACGTCGTCAGAGAAATCCGATTTGGAACTAATGTCCGAGGCTTCATTGACATATAGACCGCTGTAGACCTCAATTGTGGCCGGGGTGCCGTCTAGACCTTCGACACCCTTCACCTCGTTGTCGTTGATTGTGTCCCTACGTCGTCTAGCTATCGAATTACATAACGGCGGCTGCAAATCAAGAATAAATAATAAATATTCATTTCTAACTTGTCTTCATAAAACAATCAAACTCGAATATTCTTTTTCAGGGTCAGATATTACGTAATGCTCTACGTTTCCGTTTATGTAACATATTCACTAGACAAATTTAATGGCATAATCGTGATAGAACAAAGTAAATATTATAAAACCATTAAAGGAGGATAAATATAGTACTTAATCATCTTTATATGGAGCCATTATTCGAGCTAGAGCTAATGCGTTTATGTATCATAAGGATTGTGTACCGTATTACTGCATCCTCCATCATGCTTAATACAGAGTCTCACGTTGCATTGATAATATACGCTCGCCGTATACGGGAACTTGTGCGCTTGAAAGTTCACCCTGGCCTCTGTCTTGTCCTCGTTATACGTAAACTGTCCCATGATCTCACCGTCGACTGGACAACTGTAAACGAATGAATATATTAAATAAAAAAAGAAGAAGTCAAAATGGATCGATTGTTTCATTTGACACATCGCTATTTTCTGTTCTTTATTATTAAAAAAAATTTCTCATCTTATTAAAATTATTTCCATATCACGTACTGCTCTAACTTACCCTTCGTCGTTTATCAGCCGTTGTTCACCCCATCCGAGACCATCGCGGACCAGACAGTCGGAGATCTTCAGACCGAACATCTCTTGTTTGTCGATGCTAATGACCAGGGTCAAGGGATCGCCGATTTTCACGTTCTCCGCCACGTGATGCTGCGTTGGATCGCCGCTAAAAATCTTCATCGTGCATCCCGGCATTGGCGCGGTCGCCTGTATTGGCAGAAATTGACAGTTTATGAATATTTTATTTTGATCTATTACACATTCATTTACATTAAACTTATACCAGATACTTGTACAGAGATATTTAGATACTAACTTCACGAATACTGTCAAGTTATCAGCATAATTTTACTGAGACTGGTTTTATCAAAGTTCATCGACAGAACGAAACGCGAAGCGAGATGTTTTAATTAATTGGCGAAAGTTTGCCTGATAAAAATTCTTTCAGAGAAGGCTATCTTAAATGCAAACCATTTTCTTACCTGCAACGGTAGAGATTGCAGCATGGACACATGGGTCTGGTCGTTCGTTACAACTTTGTCGCGAGTCTGGTATCTACATCTCACGTGAAAACCTCTGCCCTGGTTCGTGACCAGCTTCAGGTGTGGCTGCACCACGATGGTGTTAAAGTACTCTATACCACCGTCGTCCTGCGAAACAAAGGCAACAAAATCATGAGTGTCATTTCTAAATTCCCCGCAAAGATCAGAAAATAAATACTGCGAGAAACATTTCTATCTTTAATTATGTGATTGATTTATCTCTTTATTTAAGGATTATTTAAAGATAAAAGAACTCGCAAATCGATGGCCAAATGACGTCAAAATGTTCAAAACGTTAAATCGAGGTGTGTGAGAACACTGGCCATTGTTTGGTCGACCGCTGCGTATCCGTGTTTCGGTGCCGCGAATGTCGCAATCTATACGACGGTGTCTACGTTTTACTATCTTTTCAAGGAGCGTATAGTAATACGCGGTCACGTTTCTCTTCTGGCCACTTTCAATATTGCAGCAGCAGCAGCAACAGCCGTCGCCTGTCCTTGCACCCCGCCAGCAAAAACCGGACCGCTGCTCCTTCTCCTCTCGATTCCGTCTCGCTCGTCCGAGATATCCAGAAAGGGAATACCTACATGTAATTTACATTCTCGCTATTCCCTCGTGGACTTTACCTTCGCCATTGTGCTTTCTTCGGATCTCCCTTACGAAGGATGGAGGTCCGCCTCTCTTCGAGAAACTAAAAATACTCCTCGTCTGAAGATTGATCTTTCAGCTACAGCGCTAAAAACTGTTTTCTTTTCGCGATGAGTAAATGTTATATTATTTTTCAAGCGTTGAAAATATTTCTCTCAATTTATTATATTTTTTCGAAGTTATTTAATATTTTATCATAATGCCTCTCTTAGTGAAGGCTAAATCTCGTTTCCACTTCTGATTTCATCGTGTAAAGAATGAGTCTCATTTAAATCAAGTTTTCGTTTAATTTATGATGTCCTTTTGCATCATTTCCTCTTAGCGTAGGTATTTAAGTTCTTTCCCGAACAAGTCCTTCTCCAGATATCAACGATCGGATTCTAATAATTGTCTGTGTTGGCAGACAACCGTCATTAATGTCGGCGGTGCTCACTAATGAGGGTATCCGTAATCGAAGAGTTTCCTGCCAGTTCCGCGGACAATGAATGTAATCAAATGGATAATCATCGTCCTTAAAGACCGATCGTCCTCGACGAGAATCGAAAGGAAGTCTCGAACTTGGTTATCCTTGGAAGTGGACACATACTGACTATTCGGTAATAATGTGCAATGGAATGATAAAATTAATTTTCCACTTGGTATAACATCATGGGTGTAATGCATAATTCGCTGTTATTATATAAACTATGGACTATATTCGTCGATGTTATATATTTGCATAGAAAATTGATGCTCATGTCACATTTAACTTACTTTGGTGAAATTTACGAGTGAATCATATCACAATCATCGATGATACATATGTTGCGTCAAATTTATTTCTTCATCTATTAATTTTTACACATATGTTAAAGACAAAAAGAAAAAGATCAGTATATGTGTATGTGTATTATTAATATAGCAAATCGCAGAAAATACGCAAAAATCTCTATAGTGAACATTAATAAAGTTTATTAAAGTCACAGAGAAAAAGTAGCGAAATAAAAGGCATAAATAATCGTTTTTTTTCTTTGCTGCGTCTCGCTTTCTTTACTAGTGCAAGATGAAAAATTATTTTAATGTATTGAAAAGATTTTTTGATTAGGGAGAACAATATTTAACAAAGTAGAGATCCTTAATCTCTCTCGCAATCGAGTCAGGGGAGCGAGCGAACGGGCTGATGTTGTGGATTCCTAGACGAGCACAGAGTATATCGAGCAGGCAACGACCTTCGGCGGAGCCTCTCAACGTTCGACCTCAGCAAGGATACTCGCAATCTGCGGTGCATCGGCCCGAGAGAGCCCAGAGAAACGTCAGATCGTCGACTTTACACGTTTCGCACACCCACCTAGCAACCGGCAAGCGGGGATCTCCGGCAGCTTTATTACGGTAGAGGGAAGAACGCACGAGGCGGGGCCCGGTGCCCCCCCCCCGATTACGGTCCTGTGACCGGTCCCTTTTTTTCCTTTCTATTGCATACCACCATACGCACCAATAGCAGGACACTGTCATGCGATACGGGTTCGTGAAGCAAAAAGATGGATACTTTTATCATCGGGTTCTCTCCTTGATTCTTGCCACATTCTCGGCCACCCTTATAAGGCTCTGCGAGTTTACGTTTTCATATTTTTAGACCGATCTCAGAAGTAATTCAGGCTCCTTAAAAAAAGTATCGTCTTTTTAAAATTTCATGTACGTCTCAATGTATACTTTTTAAAGAATTTGTAATGTCAAGTATATATATTTTTCGGATGTCAATTATTAATTAATATTTTTATTATTTAATATCATTCAATTTAATAAATTATTATCGATTAAAACTTTGAATTTTGAAAGATTCTTTTCGTTGTAGAAAAAAAATCGTTATCCGATCGTTATGTTGTCTACAAATCATGTAACTCTCTTTAGGTTTCAACTTCAAGGAATTTCAATTCATTTGCATTCATATACGCGATCACTCTTCCTGAATCGTGTATAGAGATATTTATTCCCCCTTTTCTCTCCTCTGAATGGTAGAAACACGCCAAGGTATTTTTGACATTGAATGCCTCCGATGAATATCCTCAACCAACACGAAGCGATAAATTGCTTCTCTTCTTGCGGAAATTAATTACAGAATACATTTATTGCAAGATCTTTTATCTCGATAACTATTCCTCAGACATACATTCTCGAATACACATACATAAATTAATTCTTTAATTGTTGTATTGTTATCAACTGCTTTCGACAATTGTGGCGAGTATTATTTCTTGAATCTCTGACAGATCAAGACCTTCGATTTTGATTCTGAGATATTCGAGAAAACTCGTCGTGATTCCTCAATCAAGTCAAATTGTCAAGTCGATTGCCGGATGAGATCATCAGACGATTCTTCTCAATTAATATGATATTACGTATTTACCGGTTTCGCGGAGAAATTGATTTTCACGCGGGACTCGAAATATATCCGGACGTCTAAAGTATACGGCACGCACGCTGCTGAAGTACGTCTTGCGCAAATACGTATGCTTTGTACATGCAATTTACGGACATCCCTTTGAGCTGTATCCATTATCGTATGTACATATCCATCATCTCTGACGATCCACGATCGATGAACACGCACGTTTCACGCGTGAATCAGCGTCTCTCCTCGAGAGATGCCCCACGTCAGATCTACCATGATAGGTGTTTTGCGTGTCGCACCCTTTGCCCTCTGACGCGATTCATCTCGCACTTACTATACGTACAATGTGTATCTTGTAAGTCGATGAAAATTTTCGTGGACCCCGCGCCGATGCCAAGGATCCTCCAAGGACCCTCCATCCGCGCATCTCGCGATGTTTGCCGCTTGATGTGCGTAAGGATACGACGGGGAAGGTAGTACACGACGAACAAAAAGACAAGGGATGTGGATCCACAGAAGGACGTGCGCAAACGTCCTACACGTGCACTCGCATGTACACGACAGCATAGTGAATGCATAGGAGCGAAGATCACTCTAATGTCAGGTATTACTTGACGCCTACTTGACTGCGAGTCTTACGCCATTATCGGCGCGCGGCGGTCTCTTTATCGTTTCGAACTCCAATAATCTGAGAAGAAGCGCGGAATAGCCGTATTAATGATACATTAGAGTACTCGACAAAAAAGATAGCGATTAACAGTGTTTTTTGTAGGGTCCCAAATGAGTCGTTATCCTTCATGTAATAGTATCTTCTCTCGTCATCGTTAATATCGTTCCAGCGATCTCTCGATGATAACGAGACACTTTTATATGCGTTTCTCCATCGTGATTTTTCTCTCGTTACGATTAAATAAATCGCGAAGTCACACGAGCACTCGGAGAATTTTGCCATCCTAGTTCTCGAGTTTTGGTCTTCGCGATCTCTGGAGGGGATGAACTTTTCAATCGTGCTTCTTCTTTCCTAGTATAAGTAGCTAAGCTCATCGGTTACTCGGAGCGATCATTATTGCCTACGCGACCGCGGGATGATCATTCGACCTGCACGAGAGTGGATCTGCTAAAAGGCTCGAGAGGGAGGCAGTCTATTACGGACATCCACTTTCTGCCCTCTGGCATGAATAGAGGGTACAGTAAGAGGGTACAGTAGCTAAGAGGTTCTCATGCAAATTGGCTCATCAACCGACTCATCAGCACCGCCTTTTCGTCATTATTATTAATGCTCTCGCGAGTCTCTTACACATGATACTTAACGTAACGTGGCACGTAGATGTAACATAGTTTCGTAATGTTACGAGCGTATATATATATATTTGTCGTTAAAGATATAGTTTCGAGAGAGAGCTTGTTCAATTTATTTGAAAAAAAAAATAAATACATATATATATATACTTGTTATAAATATATAATAAATATATACACATGTGTTTCAGAATTTTATCCTAAAAATGTATTTTGAACGTTGTATTTTCTGCATCACTTATGAATATAAATATGGTTTTCTTTATTATATAATAGTACGATATATCGTAACGCACTTGCACGTATTTATTAGGATACTTCCCGGAGATGCGAAACAGAAGGTAACGGCACCCGAGAGAAGATGCATGCTAAAACATCGACTTCTCGCTGCATCCGCTGCAAGCTATACAATCCGCGGCACATTCCCTCATCCGTCCAGGAGGTTGAATACATGTAATTATAATTCATGCGCGCGTATAGTAAACTGTCATAGAGAATTTCGCATCCGTTGTATAGCGTTGCATACGCGGTTCTGTTCATTTCCCCACGTCGGTCATGTTAATAGAATGTTCGTACGATGTACGCATATATTTCTTGCGAGAATTTACGTCAGCGAACGTGGCACGCAGTCAAATTTGCGAATCAGGAAGTTGCGCAAAGGATACGTGATTTACGACAAATAAAAAAAACGTACATATGTATTAAAATTTCAACTTTGCATTATATATTCGTTAATAAATTAGACTTATGTTAATAAACATCAGTCGCGACGAAAAGTAATAAAAAAAATTAT